GAACCTCAAGCAATCTACATCATATTAAATCACTAGTGAGACTACAATCATAATCTGTATAGTTGGTTGGTGGAGTGCTTTTTTATAAAAAAAATCCAGCACCTAAGGGCTTTCTCTTGTTCTGCAGCCAATGTTGGTCAGTAATACAAAAAGCTACCCATGTAAAGGAGAGCCTCTATAATCACGACTGATGGGAATGAATATCCACAGGTTAAAATGCCATCAATTTAAGGAAATTATATTTTGCTGCACGAAAATGCTATCATGAATGAAATCTTAAACATAAAAGTAAAAATTTTCATTACAAAAGATTTGGATTAAAAAAAAATACAAACCTTTGTTCCGAAATCGCCCAGTTAGATTCAATCATATCATTAAATATACCTTTGAATGAGTTAGATTTTTTGTAAAGAATAAAAATATGAAATGTTCATCGTGCTTATCTTCAAAGAAATTTTGCTTATAAAACCAAGTGCAACTTAGAAGTGGATGGAGACAGATGTATTATTTGTCGCGTACGTACATACACACATATACATGCAATAACAGACATTATACCAGTATAATGACAAGTTTGTTGGAAGTGAAACTTTGAAATAAGAACAAACGATTAAATATGACTGAAATTATGGGAAGCATGCATATTGTCCAATATTTTCATTTTAGTTACCTACATCACTGGTATCAGTTATCAAATCATAATATCTAAATTCTCCCATTTTTAACTAATGTTTCTAAGAACTCGACTATTGTTATTACTATTATAAGTATATGAAATAGTACAAATGTGTACTTTTCTAACCATAAATTTACACTGATTTATTTTTAAGACCTATGCACATAATCATCAGAGAAATGTAATCAATTACTCACACAATAGATGATACTTAAGAAAAGGGATAAATCTCAAAGAAATGAAAATTTCAGTTATGAAATTAGTATAATTATATAAAGATTTTTTTGTTTTTAATTAAAATGAAGCGGAAAAGGTGTCCCAGGACCTATCATTCTCTCGCGCGAGCACTTTACCATTAGACCACTGAGTTGATCGGTATCAAACGGTGTTTATATCTAACTTAAACCAATCCACGAAGTTGCATTGAATTTTCAATATTTACCCAGTTTTTGTTTATATAAAACAAAAAGTAACAGGTGAAGTAGAATAATATAAATTTATAAGGGTTGGTAAAGTTTCAACAATGATTTACTAATTGATAATAAAAGCTATATATATATATACAAGGTCATTTGAGGATAAATCTAAGAAATATGAAAGGGGATGAAGCAGAAGTAATCTAAAACTGAAAGGTTGACTAATTTCGTAATATTTACAGAAATTAGTTGATGCAAAGTCCTAAGCATTGAAAATCAGGAAACACTAGACAACTGTTATTTAATAGTAATGGACTCTTCAGCAATCTACATCCATGTTCCTACAAAGGATGGAAAGCTCGATTAGGTTATGGATTGTGCACTACTAAAGAGAGGAGCCTTGTCAAATGTTTTCTGGTTTCCAATAGTTATTTAACTATGTCCAGTCAGCGGTGTCAAGTATAAAATAAACGTCAACACTTTCTATAAATCATCAGTAAAATTAGAAATATAATAATTTTAGTAAAAAGGTTTGTTGAGAGTGTTCTTTTTGCAGTTTCACATCATGAACTAACCTCATCTAGATAGCTATTTGAAATCATAAAGCGTTAAACGGCTATCTGATCCTGACAAGGGTTACGTTGACCTTCTAGTGGTCCGTTGTTTGATGGCATTATCATGTTCAGCAATCATACTTCTGATTCAATCACCGTTGATGAGCATCAGTAGTTGAATGTTATTTTCATACCCTTATTGAATACATATTTCACCACATTACTCATTCCAAATTCATAATTGTTTTTCGCCGTCTAGTTTCTATGAAATTTTTTAGTAATCTTTGATTCAACCTTTAAATAAAAAATAACAATTTTTTTAAAAATATTTAATGTCGTTACTGTGTTCTATTGATCGTTGTTTTATAAAAAAATTTGAATGCAAATTAGAGCGGCACATAATCGAACAATCTTCTTTCCAATTAGATCCTCATCAGGCTCTTTTCTAAACACAATAATCTTTATATAAGTACATATAACAACATTAAATCAATGTGGGCAAATTCTGAGTTTTGTCAACACGAGTGGTATCGTACTTTTTACAGATCACGCAGAAGCAGAACTTAATTTATTTCGTCATATTGATTCTAGTTGTCAACTATTGTGACATTAGAAAATTACTAAAAATTAAGTGCATATAATTTCTATGTAAGTCGAAAAATTATATATGTCATACAAAATAAACTACAAAAAATTCGTAACCGATTCTCGATTATGATGATAAGTATCTAAATGATAAACACAAATTTCAGATAACAATAATAATTTTGACTGAGATCACGAGCCGATTGATGTTAGACCACCATGGAAAACCTGGAACAACTGAACAGCTGTTTCGTACTATTGTGGGACTACTCAACAGTGCGCATCCACGATCCCACTCTCAGGACCCGAGCCAAAGGCCTTCAGTCTTGCGTGCGAACGCTCAACCTACTGCACCACTGAGCCAGCTGGCATCCAATGATGTTAGTGACTAACATACTGATAATGAACATGTACTCACTGGTGACTAGCTTCGTGAGGGAATTCTCGGAGTTCTAGTGAGAAGCTGTGAAAAGTGGAGCTAATCCGTGTTGGGTAGAGACAGGTGTCTACCTCAGTACAATGGAAGATGGTCGCGCAATTTCGTGGATTGGTTGAGGTTAGACATTAACACTGTTGGATGCCAGCTCAGTGGTCCAGTAGGTCAAGCGTTCGCGCGCGAGATCTAAGGCCCTGAGTTCGAATCTCGCGGGGAGCGGGGTCGTGGATGTGCACTGCTGCTGGGTCCCGCAATAGGACGAAACGGCCGTCCAGTGCTTTCAGGTTCTCAATGATGGTTTAGCTTCAATTGGCTCATGATCTCAACTAGTTAAATTACTATAATATCCACAAAACCCCTTCTGATATTAATAACTGACTTCCTTGTAAAGCAAATGAATAAGAAATAAGTATCCAATGAATATATATATATAAGAGAATATTATATTCACGTTAGTTTGTGTACTTGTTTTTCAAATTATCTGACAAATTATTTTATCAGAATAATATAAATAGAAGATATATGGTATTTCTGTTTTAATAAAGGTTGTAATTACTTTTAAGGTGTATATAAAAATGATTAATAAATTTTATGTATAAACTAATAAGGTTCAGGTAATATTTTTTGAACTTATAACGTTGACTTTATTTTTTATTTGTTGATCGACAAAACTCAACAGTTATTGTTAGTTTCAATACCATACTTCGTACATGGTTTTATAATTGGATATTATGTGAATAACACCGATGTGATCAAATTCACATATACAATATCTTGAGTTGATTAAAAGCTAACGTTTTAAACTTTAGTTTTCATTGTTTGCTAAAATTTGTCATGAAAAGTTAATTGCAACCACGTTGGTAAACGTATCTCCAAGATGTAAATAAACATATCATTCACTAAATTAGTAGCTATGGCAACCATTGATACTCCCTCATATACCCCATACATTTTTATATACATAAGACATCGGATGATGACAATTCTTCGATATTTATATTTTATTTAAGTTCTGTAGCATGTTTATTAACATCTGATAAACAATATTTTTCGAGTGATTAAATGGAAATTGCAGAATATTGATCGTCTAGTGAATATAAAATGTTTAGTGAGTTATATGAAACACATAACAGCATTGATCTCAATATGCTCTACCTCCAGAATGGTAATTCTAATAATATACGATGCATGAAAATTAAATGTTTCAATAGAAGTAAAAACTGTCAACGATAGAGTTTAAATAAAAGGGTTTTACATTAGGTATTATCAAAATAGTAACAGCCTAGAAACAGTGCAATTATGTATATATCAAATTCTTTAGTTAAGTTAAATGTAAGTACACTTCAACAGAATGTGTACATATGTCAATTAAAGAATGATTTAAAAATTATAAATTATTAATTGGGATCAATGTTAAATCACTAATGAAAACCTGGAATCATTAAATGGTCGTTTCGATTATTAAACTAATCCCATATGAGTTTATTTAACAATTCTAATAATGATTAATGGATGGTGGCTAGCAGTGAAGTCCAGGACGCGTGTTTTATCCTACTTGGGATTCGTCAGCTGGATGTATCTGCACCAACTCTGGGATGTAGGTGGTAACCATCCATCATTGCTTATAATGCTTAGGATTTGAAGTAATATCGAGACGATCCGTATAGGGTGCATATATGCCAATAAGAGACTGATCAATTTTAGTCTTGAACATCAATAGAAAGATTGGAACAAACAATACAAAATGAGATTAATAATAATAACTGATTATTTTATAGATAAAGCGAAATTATAAATTTTAGTCTTATACTACATATATTGAAATATAAGAATATATTTGGGATATAAATCATCACAAACACTTTGAATTTATACTCATTGACATAAAATAAGTGAATTCCGTTTTGTTTATATAAATTATAAACAAATTATGAACTGTTGCATAATTATATTAATTAGTACAGTTTCATCGAAAATATACGTTAAATTTATTGTCAAGCTTACATACAGAAAGTGATTATTATATTATAAATGGAATGGACTGGTAGAAGTTCTAGAATATGCCGCCTAAACACAGATATCGATTATAATATACTTCTCAAACTTCCTTATAATTAGTCATTCACCATGTCGTCTACAATCACTTCATCTATAATGCACACAAGCATATTCAACGAATATAATCAGTCTTTTATATATCGTTTATTTTGATATGTTCATCTTACTTGACAGAAATAGTCTTATTGTAAACATGTATGTACATTGAGTCATTTTCCTTTCAGAACAAAATTCAAGTTTTTTTCAACCCACCTCTTTTATTTTCTACTTAAAAGGTTTGAAAGAATACGTGTTATTACACAAACTCAAATTCACCAACTTAATCAAAGTTTATCAGCACTACAAATGATGCCACAGAGACCGAAATATCAAACTGTTACACGTAATTCTTCTCAACGTACTCAAGGATCGCGTCATGAAGCTATAGAACCAGTTGATCAAACTATCCCAGCGACTTCAGGACAATCAAAAAATGTTCCATTACACGGTGAGAGAACTTTGTTTTAAATAACTTCAATCTTTTAATGGTTTTGGAAATAATATTCGATTCACACGTTTCATCTCTTTTAAGACATTAGACAGAGCTTTCTTTATTATCGTGAGTAAGGTATTTGTGTACATTTAGCACTTTCATATCAACATAATTCCATACGTTAAATTGACAACAAAGTTTTGCAAGATATCATAGTTATTCAGATTTAATTTAATAAAGAAAGTAGTTTAAAGCCGTATACCAATTACAGACCTTTATAACGATTAGTATTAAACTCATACACCCAGAATAATTATTTAAAATCAAATGCTCATAAACTATGAATAGTTCTTCACTTGGTTTTGTTTTGCATCTATCTTCCCATTGTTATTTAGGACTGCAATTGACCAGTCTCATCTCGGTATATGTGCGTGCTGTGAAGATTGCCTCGATATAGCCTTAAGTCAAAAGCTTTTTAAGCGAAGATGGATAGTGGCTAGCAGTGGAATCCAGTTTGACGCGCGTTTCGTCCTGTTTGAGACTTGTCAGCTGGGTGTACCTGCATCCCAGAGTTGATGTTCAACAATGGGAAGATACAAGTAAAGCAACAGCAAGTGAATTTACACTTCATCACGTTGCACAAGCAGGTAACTATTAGGACTCAGTAGCTAAGTGGATAACGCGATGGCGTTTGAAGCGAACGGTACTGGGTTCGAGTCCTGGAGTAAATATCAACTCTTAGATGCAGGTACATCCAATTGACAAGTTCCGAATAGGACGACACGCGCATCAAACTGGATTCCACTACTAGCCACTATACATCTTTGATGAATGGTTGTATTTCAATTTGTTCAGTGACTTATTTTCCCATATGCTAAACTGTGCAAATCAGGAGTTGACAATTGACACTATCAATGTTTTATTTTTTTTTAGTTAATTTCTTTTAAACTATAAATCTCAATATTAATTGGTACTTCTTTAATATTATATATTAGACAACTGATTTTCTCTATTCATCACGATATTTTAATCTTTGTTTTTTCTGTTTTACCATGAAATAAACCATCTGGAAACTATGAAATTTTTCTTTTTACAGTAGAGTAATTTTCATTTATTTACTATGCATTATAGTTAGATGATTGGTTATAAATCCTGTAATTCAAGATATACTTTCATAGTCTGTTTTAAGCGAATATTCTTCAAATATTAAAATGAGTTTATAATCAGCCATGAAAGTAGTTGACAATTTTCAGATTAGTACACCTCATTGGTGTTTCATTTTGTATATTGTGTAACAGCTTAGCTAGATACCTTATTCTTATGATAATCAACATATTTGTTAGAAATTTATTTTCAGAATTGGAAGTTTGTAGAGATTATAGTAGTTTTAATAGTTGTATTCATGAGTCGATCTAAGCTAGAATACCATTAAGAACTTGGAAGCATTGGATACCCATTTCGTCCTTTATAAGACTGAAATGCGAATAAATAAATAAAAATTATTACAAACATCATTCTACTTATTTTTTCAGATCGTTTACCATGGGAAAGATGTGTTCATCCATCTGGTACACAAGTTCCATATTATAAAAAGTAAGTATGAACTACAATATTTGTTTATATTTATTGTACAATACAATTTTTAAAAAAGAGAATGAATCAATGAAACAAACTCAATTGCCAAGCTAAATAATGAAGTTATTTTTTTAACTGTCATAGATAAGATGTTTACGAATATAACTTTCACTCAAATCTTCAGTGAATTGAAATGAAACTTTTCACTTAACGAAAGTTCTCACAAATTCCTAAATGGTTAAAATCTATAGACAAATAGAAGAATCTACTATATGTGAAAATTATATTTGAAATAATCTCAGCGACTGAATTTTAAATCACTTCAATGTTTCGTCTAGCTAACGTGTCTGGACTTCTTCAGGCTAATAATAAAAATCAAAAATAGAAAAAGAATGTAGAAAGTTTCGACAATTTTGATATAATCAACTTCAAGATAATTATATTTCTTGCTTACAAATAGAAGCTTCTAGAACTTACATATCTTTTTATTATAGAAATTGGTATTACAAATGATAACTAAATTTTGACTAATTCACAAATTGTTTTTAACGATTATGTAATCTAAATGAATATTTTTAGTGGTTGTCTATTACTCAACTCTAATGGAGAAAAATTTCTTTTGTTTACATTAATACCTATTAACTTTAGATCTCTATACTGAAACAATCTTATAAAATGAAAGTACATATTATTATAAAACTATTTAGATAATATTCTCATTTAGAAATGAACTTTTCAAATGAATTCAGTGAAATTTACGTACATCAAAATGATATAATCACTTTCAGCTCAGTGTATGGTTAAACGACATACAATAATCATTATGCTTTTCTAACGTGATTATTAATTGAATATAGTAAGCGTGTTTCGTCCAAGTTCAAACTCATCAGATACATTTACCTTCACAACATGAAACAACAATGACATTATCTATTCTTTTCATTTTTTTAGTCATGAAACGCAAGAAACTCAATGGGATCATGCAATTTTATGTGATTTAATGAAATCTATGAAACAATTTAATACTATTCGTTTCTCTGATTATCGAACTGGTTTAAAACTACGTCGTTTACAAAAGGAACTATGTTGTAAGTTAGTCACTTGATATTTTCTTCATTTCATATAATTATTAATAGTATTAATCTACTTAAAACCATAATATTGTTAGTGAATAACGTTAATTACATATATCTTTTTGATTGAGATCAAGAACCGATTGATGTTGGGCCACCATTGAGAACCTGGAAGCACTGGACGGCCGTTTCGTCCTATTGCGGGACCCAGCAGCAGTGCACATCCACGACCCCGCTCCCCGCGAGATTCGAACTCAGGGCCTTAGATCTCGCGCGCGAACGCTTGACCTACTGGACCACTGAGCTGGCATCCAACAGTGTTAATGTCTAACCTCAACCAATCCACGAAATTGCGCGACCATCTTCCATTGTACTGAGGTAGACACCTGTCTCTACCCAACACGGATTAGCTCCACTGGTCACGGCTTCTCACT